AGGGGCTGCTGGGGGCTGGAAGGGGCGGGACAGCAGACTCCCAGGAGGGTTCAAAGAGACTCAACCACTTCCCTTGACTTCACAGTCAAAGCTTCAGAGCTGGGAGTGGCTAAATCCCTCTGCTTCAAAGTTCTCAGATTTGAACTGCTCGGTTAGGATGGCCCTAGAGAATCAATAAAGTGCCAAGTTGCTGGTACAGCCAGGAAGGCGTAGCAACATTCAAGCTTCTTCCTTTACAGGCATGGCACCAAGTGCCCTACAGAAGCTGGAAGGCCGGTAAAAGAAGGTGTTTTCAGTTCTTGAAATGCATGTGCATTCAAAGAGGGGTTGAGTGGATGTGCCGTCCTCTGGGTCACTATTTCTATGTGAGTATTTAAGCTCTACTGATGACAAGTTTGAGCTTTTCTCTAATGGATACAATCAACTTCAATCACATTCAAATTAGAGGGACCTTTGTTCTTCTGATTTAACTATTGTACCCAGTCTTAAAGCCTCAAACACTTTTAAAATAGAGCTGGATATAGGTCAGTAGGGAAAATAGGTAGAAAAAGCTACAAATCGGCACATGGATAAAGACAGTTCATAATGCTTATGATGCAACTGTTCTAATCCATCACACAACCACCTCAGATGAAGGTCAGGTTTCTAAGGACACAATCAAGGTGTTGGTAAGTGATAAGTAAGCAGGATAATGAGGGGCAAGCTGTTCCTCATCCAAGCATTGGATCCATGATCAAGGGGGATGCTCAGAGTGGTTGCAATGGATTAACTCATGTGTTCCCCCAAAACAACCCAATTAGCAGATGGGATTATTATACCTATTTTATAGATATGGAAATGGCCATTGGCCAGATAAATAGCTGAGCCAAGCTTTAAACTCAGGCAGGATGACTACAGGCATGCACTGCATTATTAAACTATACAATGTGTCCTTGAATTAAGCCTATGAATTCATTCTCTTTGAGGTCTTTAGGGACCTCAAACAAACCACACACCAGACCACTACTCCCTTCCGAGCTCTTAACCCATCGAGAAATAAGAAAATTCAACAGGAGGCCAAAACATCCCCTCATTAATACAAGGGGCAGTCCTAAGAGAGTAGAGCCTTCTGCGAGAGCCAGAATGGACTAGCCATCTGCTCTCCCTCCAGGCTGGACCTTGCCACAGCCATCTGCCCACTGAACTGGATGAGAACAGAAAGCAAAGTGACCTCCTCAAGAAAGAAAGGCCAAGGGTTTGCCTCCTTCCTCTGACGGGATGCGAGAGTGGGAAGTGGGTTTAAAGGCCAGCAGTGTTCAAGGAAAATCACTCACCATGGGAACCAAGAGAGCAGGAAAGAGGTGATCCAGGGGATAGCAGCCCTGTGCCATTTAAACGGAATCTACAAAGGCTCTCTGCCTGTCATCCAGGGCTGTGCACAAAGCATTCACCCAGGCCTTCTTTTCTGAGCCTTAAACAATCCTTTATTCGTGTTAGAAGCACATTTATCATCATTCTGCAGGAGAACTAGGAGGAAGGCGTACTTTTCAACTCACACTGAGCTAGGAAAGACACCGCCTACCTCACCAAGGTGTGGACTTGAGGCTGGGGCAGAGCTCAGTGGTCGAGCCATTGTCTTGCACGCATGAGGACCTGGGTTCAATCCCCAGCACCACGAAATGAGGTGTAAAACCTAAGGGTCAAATACAGCTCTCACAAGCAGGCTTGCCAACCCAAAGCAAGGGAGAGCTATTGGCGGATTTCAGAAGATGGGGTGGGCAATGGAAGAGGTGCTTTTGATGAGAGAGAGAAGGCTCTTGTTGCTTTATGCAACACACTCTCACAGTAGCCCGTGGGGTTGATTCTGCTGTCTGCAATGCTTTCAGGCTCTTGCCCAGCATCAAAAGCCAAACAATGTCTTCTTGCTGACAGAGTGACAATGAACTTCTCCACATTTCTGAGTAGTTCTCTGGCCCCTCCTCCTCCTCACCTCAGTACATCTTACTCTCTGTGTAAGGATTTTACTGGTAAGGGTTTTATTTGGTATCAAATAATAGGAAAAACTCCCAGATAAATAACCACTCTTCTTAGGTAAAAGAATTCTAGAGTTGGGCAGTCCAAGGCTAATTTACCTGCTCTATGGAGCCCTTGGGGACCCTGGTCCTTTCCAATCTTTTCTCCATCATCTCTAAGATGTAGTTATTGGCTTTGTGGTTCTGTTTGGCTGCCAGCATTCCAGCCATTGCACCTGTATTCCAGATAGCAGACTATAGGAGAGAAAGGGAGCTTGTCTGCCTGGGAGCTTCACATATCACTTCCACTTACCTTTAAACAGAACCTGTTCTCGTGGCTGCTCCACACACATCTGCTGCCTATGGTTGCACAATGGCCACAAAACACACGGCTGGCTCTTTTTTTCTCATAATATTCAGAAGAATTAGTATTGTTCAACTCTCCATGCTGTTAGCAACACTAAGCATTGGGTGTTGCATGTCTTCGAGTTGGCTAGGGTTCAACTCCACCAGGCTGACTACTGATAAGCCACTCTGATGCACACTGCAGGAGGTGGACTGGCCCTCCTCCCAGTGCAGGTCTGTGACGTTATCCCAGTTGCCCTTCCTCTTTGTTGGCCATGGTGTAGCCAGGACATGTTCTTCTCAAAGCCCAAAGGGGCACAAAAAGAAAACAGGTGGCGCCTTTAAGGTCTAGACACAGACAGCCACTGCCACCTCAGCCCACAGGCCGCTGAAGGGAGAACAAGTGCATTGTAGACAAGCTCGGGGCCCGCCCGTGATGAGGACATCACAAGAGTGTGATCTAGAGGAGGTAAAGAAAGCAAGCCAGGGTGATAACACACGTGGCTAGGGTCAGACAGTCCTGAAGAAGAAAAGACAGGGGTCCAGAGACACTTGTCAGGCCCCTGGACACCTCTTAGAGCATAGCAGCTGTGTGAGAGATCAGCACAGTGCCATCACTGTGATTCTCACTCTGTCTCAAGGCACCACGTAGATTAAGAGCACTCACAAGGAGCCAGGGAGAAAGGCAGTAGCCAGCAAGATGACCATGGCAACTTCCACTGTTGAAAAGCTGAAACAGGGACAATCTTTTAATATCATTTATCAAAAATCTTAAGCCAAGAAAGAATAAATTCATCTCCAAGATGCCTCTGCCAGGAGACACCAGCCCACTACCCCACAGATGTCTGTCCTCTGGGCTCTGAGGAGGGATGTCGGTGCTTCATATTGCATGGAAACCACCAGACCATCAAGTCCTAACTGGCACTCTCAACATATATGACACTTTCAAACTTCATCCATCATCCCATCATCTGCGCACATGTGTATGTGTGTACAAGGACACAAGTAAGTGTGTACTGTATGTGCATGTGTGTGTGTTTGTGGAGACCAGAGGACAGCCTCAACTGTCCTTCCTCAGCTGCTATCCATCCTGTTTTTTGAGATGGCCTCTCATTGGCCTGAAGTTTACCAGTAGGCTGGCTGGCTGGCCAGTGAGTCCCAGGCATGCTGCTGTCTCCACCTCCCCAGTGCTGGGGTTACAAGCAGGCACCACTCCACACAGCTTTTCTCATGTGCGTTCTGGGCTTATCAGGTCAGCTCCTCATGGAAAACGTTGTACTGACCGAGACATCCCCAGGCCCCTCTGCCCTGTCTTAAACTACTCAGATGCACCTTTGTACTATCATTGTGTTTGCTTCCAGCTGACTGCAAGCTCATCCCAGCACCCCACTGACCCTTCCATCTTCCCCACAGGCCCACATCACATTTCAAGAGCCCTGACCAAGACACTCAGCCAGATGGAATGTCTGTGAACCTCAGTCACAGGTCTCTCCTAAGTATGTGTGAATGCCAGTCACAGGCCTTTCCCAGGTGTGTGAACCTCACAGTCACAGGCCTTTCCCAGGTGTGTGTGTGTGTGTATGTGTGTGTGTGTGTCTGTGTGTGTGTGAACCTCACAGTCACAGGCCTTTCCCAGCTATGTGTGTGAACCTCAGTCACAGGCCTTTCCCAGGTGTGTGTCAACCTCACAATCACAGGCCTTTCCCAGGTGTGTGTCAACCTCACAGTCACAGGCCTTTCCCAGGTGTGTGAACCTCACAGTCACAGGCCTTTCCCAGGTGTGTGTCAACCTCACAGTCACAGGCCTTTCCTAGGTGTGTGTCAACCTCACAGTCACAGGCCTTTCCTAGGCCAAGGCTTGACCACAGGATGGACTCCATGCTTCAGTGTGTGGATCCCAGTATCCACTTTGAGCATCCGTGTCTCCTACAAAGATGGACCCAGGCTATCCTGCAGCCATCTAAAGCTTAAGCAAAAGATGGGAACAGGATGTGAGCACCTTTCTCATTAGAAGGCAGTCTGGCTAAGGGGATCAGATGGAGAGAGCATAGCACAGGAAGGACCTCCTCTGCATGTCTCTGGACAGGGAGTTGGGGGCTCCACCTACTTGGATAGAGAAGAAGAACATTTTTTGGTTTGTTTACTTAACATGGATGATTTTTCTACCAAGTTCATTTGGCCCAGAGCCTAGCATTTGTCAAGAACTATCTAGATGCCTGGAGCCTAGCATTTGTCAGGAACTATCTAGATGAAGTTAAATAAAATTGGAAACTGACAAAATAATAATTGTACTACACACAAAGATTTATCTAGCTCAGTCTCTCTATTTAGATCTGTTCATATTCTCTCTCTCCCTCTTCCTCCCTCTCTCTCTCTCTCTCTCTCTCTCTCTCTCTCTCTCCCTCCCTCCCTCCCTCCCTCCCTGAGGACTAATTAATAATTCAGTGCACAATGGTGTGTTCTGATGGCTGCAAATATAGCAATTTTATTGATATTTGTTTCTGCACAACACAATGATGCCTCATTTTTCCAGGAGAGTCATTTTTCACAGCTGTGCCAGGCTTCTCACAATAAAACAGCCTACCCTTGGCACACCTGAAGTCCATTTGTTAAAAAAGAAAGGTGGTGGTAAGGGGTTTGTAACAGACACAATGGCAAGCAGTGTGCTTTAAACACTGACATTTATTTGGGGTTTTCGAGGACTCATACATGATTAGGATAAACTCTAATTTATAACAGTATGTAATAGGCAAATATATAATACCATAAATTGCATTTGTACACATAAATACAAAATTTGAGGTAGGGCCTCAAGAGTAATGACTTCTTAAATGAATAATGCACAATATATAATAAGCACTCTATACGATAGATAGATATATATGATGCATCATTTTGTAACATATTTTCTTCATGTACAGTTGATGAAAAAATATAAGGACCTGACTAGGAAACATCTTTATTCATGAACAATAGTGCCCACATGAGATTCTTGCATTTAGAACACTACCCAAGTACATAATTTGATAATTAACATACTCCTTGATAGGTCCATAATAAAGTGCAAAAGAACACGGACAAATGAGAGACACAGCAGTTCCCAGTTGACGCCTACCATCACCCCAGTGATAGAGCACACCTGTAAGGCAGCCAGTTACCTGGAGACGTCGTCCTCAGGAACTAATCAAACTTCAGTTTGCTTTTCAGGGGTAAGGAACACCCATCTGAAATCCTTTCTCAACAGGCAGTTTACAGCAACCTATGCCAAGACCATATTTCACACTGGTTCTTCTAGGCAAGCACAGCTAAGTGAGAGAAAGACAGGAAATCTCACTCCCAACCCTCAGGCCAGCTCTGGATAGCACACGCTTCGAGACAGGGGAAACAGGCTTGCTGGTCTTGGCCTCCACACCTTGCATGTCAACCTACCATACAGAACACCCTAACTCATGCCAGTGCCCAGACCCAAACCCCAATCCCACAGTCAGGATGACCTCGCCATTGCACGCCCAGCAACAGTTACTGTGCTAGCCTCTGGGAAGAGGACAATGACCCACGGCCAAGGAGATGAAGAGTAAAGTGTCGGTTTAAGGCCTGGGAAGCCCATGCTGACAGAAAGGAACCGGGAAGCGCTGAGGCACACATAAATAACAGGAGGAAAACAAAGCCCTGACCCCTCCCCTCAGTGCTGCGCCAATGTAGCGAAATCTGAGTCTCATCCACCCAAAGTCCTTGTGTATAACTCTTTCTAAAGTGCCATTCCCTGAAGTACGCAGCAATTGCAGCTCTCACGCATTAAAAACTCAGCAAAAGTTCCGAAGACGTCAAGGTCATTAGGATTTTGCCTTGACCACAGATATCATGCAAAAAAAAAAAAAAATACACAGGGGCTGATAAAACAACTACCAGGAAGACCAGAATTGACACATTTGTTCACAACAAACACAGCCTGGAGATTAGAAGAAATTTCTAGTGAGCAAGACAATTACACAAAGGTTTGCATAAGGAACCACAACATCAATAGTTAATAAATACATGGTGGTTTTTGTTTTAAGGATATTAAGGGGTTACTATTTTTCACATATGGCTTGTTTTTCTCTGAATGAGTTTATTGGTTGGTGGTATGACATCATCTCACAGATGGTAAACTCCCCACCCCTGCACACAGGGAACTGAAGTCTTCAGTGTCAAGGGAGAAGCTCAGGTGGCAGTTATGACAGTGCTTTCATTTTCTATTCACTCATTCATTTTTTTTCTTCCAATCGAGTGTGCATTTTAGTAGCATGGAAACAGTCCATCTAGACGGATACATATCCGCTCTCAGTATCCCGACCGAGTCCTCAGGAGGCATACGCTGAGATACACCATGAATGGAAACTACTCAGACACCACTCCTCCCTGCCAGGGAGAGCCTTGAAGTTGAACGTGGCAATGAATGTGGACAAAAACTAAACTTCAAAGGCAGCTGTGTCCAGGTGAGCCTGGAACCTTTTCTTACTTTGTCCTTCTGAGCAGCTTTTTTATGAAATTAGAGAAAGAAAAAAAAAAGCAACAACAACAAAATGGACAAGTACTCAGGGGCAGCTTCTAGGTCTTTCCTAAACGCATCCTACTAGACACAGCTATAGCTGCCCCAGTTACAAACGCCCTAACTGATGAGGTCTCCAGTAAGCCAACTCTCAGTTCACATCCGGCAGTGCCCACAGCCTCCCCCACTTCTTTCTTTTAATCACAGAGGCAAAAATTAGTAAATTGGGTTGGCATCCAGCACCAGTCCCAATTCCAGCCCAGAGGAAAACAGGAAGCCAGAAGCACACACAAATCCCGTGTGTGCTTTTCCTAACCTGCAAACTGGTGGGGCTGCGGGTAGTTTCCAGACTGACCTCCCCACCCCCAAACACACACACACACACACACACACACACACACACACACACACACACACACCACCGAAGTCTGGGACCACCCTGCAATATTGGAGCAGGAATGGGCTGCTCATCAGTGTGGCTTTCTGGGGAAAACATAATGACAGCAGATAGGAGACAGCTGAGCCCACAGCTTATCTTCCTAAAATAAGGGAAGCCTGAGACTCCATCTCTGTAACAGTCTAGCAAGACCTACTTTGGGGAAATTGGGAGAAAGGAGAAATGGAAGGGGGAAGGCAAACCCTGATAGAAAAGACATGAAAGCCAGGAGTTCAAAACCCACCACGATTCCTTCCCTAAAACCTGTCATGGCTACTCTGGGAAATCCAAGTACCCATCATTGTTGGCAGATGGTGTGAGCACTTGCCCTAGGAAAGGGAGAGTCCAATACAATGATTTCAGACACTTTACATAGTGGAGTCATCTTTTTAAAAGGATACGTTAAAATCTGTTGTTGGGGCATCATTGCAATTGTGTGGGATGAAAATGTCACATCAATATACAAGATTTGAACCAAAAACTTTGCCTGAGACCCTGTTATATGAAGACAACTCATAAGAAAATGATTGAACCAGTCTCCCCTAGAGGAAACTATTTTAGCTTGCGATATTAATACTATAAGAAGAAAAGAAATAAAAGCCCAGACTATGCTACTCTAAAATCGCCATCTTTGTGGTGATTCCTAAGATATTTATAAGGACAGAAAACACCACTACATGCTATGTGTACATACTGCATGAGCACACATCACATTTTAAGAGTTTCATATATGTCTGCTTGGGAGACACTGTAATAAAGGGTGCGCCTGGCCAGGCTCTGCAGATGGGTGGCTTATTCTCACTAGAGAGCAGTAACAATAAACACTGTGAATAGGGAGTTCCAGAAATTGAACTGGCTAAATGCAGTCTTAAGAGCTATAGTCTTAATTGGCTTACTCACTATCTAGCTAAGCTGTATTTATCAGAAAGTCCCGGAAATACAGTGACCTAAGCTGTACAACCCCAGGGGTGAGGAATAATATGATTGCTTTCTACCAATCTCTTGATTTCTCTGATTTCCCTATGGCCAAAACTGGCATTTACTGTTACTTAAAAAGGAGTAAAAATTGAAAAAGTATCGTTTAAGAGTTTGTGTCCCACATATATATAATATACAGACAGAACCAAGGTAAGTCTCATTTTCCCAGAGGTTGAAGGACAAGGTATCTACAGCTTATAGAAAGAGATTTGGAGGCAAAGAGACAGCATACCATGGCACCGAACCATGGTGCTAAAGACATCATGGCAAATAGACCAGCGGTACAAAAGTAGACATGCAAATCAAAGTATGGCTTCTTGTGCAGGGGGTGGAAGAAAAGACCCAAAGAATTAACTCCCAAATGTGGTTATTATAAAGATGGGAAAGGAGGAGGAAGAGAAAGAGGAGGAGGAAGGGAAGGAGGAGGAGGACAGACAGACTGAGGAAAGAGAATGGACAGTCCCTTCTGATCCACAGCATAGAGAGATGAAGCATCCGAATGCATGGTATATTTGGTCAAAATAAAGGAAACGGATATGCAAACCAAACCACCCAGTGGTGCCCAAATCCACCTACCAGCCTTGTCTGCATCTAGAACAAATTCCAGCACTGCCTCTGCCTAAATGCACCTGACCTGAACTTTCAGCTTCTGAATGAGATCATGGCATTGCCCACCTGAGCTGGATGGTGTTGATGAGTCCAAATCCACAGTCCTGAATGTCTGCATTCTCCTCATGCCCTACTCCTTCCAGCAATGAGAACACACATGGGAATTTCTCTACTGCCAAACCATGCACCTGCCAGCACTCACCTGTCAATCCCCCCACCCCCTGCAGGATGAATGAAGCACCCAATCAGGGGACCAATCCTTCCAGAAACTGATATCACAGACACAGGCAGACAGTGCTTCCAGTGGTCTGTGTGACTCTCACTACAGCATGCGACAGACACTATGTCCTACTTTTCTATGGAACACTCTCATGCACGGCTGTGAAGCGAAGTGTGGGGAGAAAGAAGAGAATTGAGGATAAAGCTGGCGAAAATGTGAAGGGGAGGCAAGAGAGGAAAACCAGGAGTAATGCAGGACCATCCACACTACTGGACTAGCACTGGGTGCCCAGTTCCAAATCCTTCACTGGCAGTTTGAGTCCCAGGGACGAGGTTCCCAAGGGGTCGATCATATTCTTGTAACGCTCTCCACGGTGCTGAGCTAAGAATGGGCCCCAGTCTGGCTGTGGTGAGCATACCAACTTCAGCCTCTGCAAAAAAAGTCAAAGACACACGTAGTTATAACAGGACTGTACCTTCCTCCACTATGGCACCCCTAGCCATCTTCAAAAGGCTAGGGACCACTGCTCCAGATCTCTCACTGGAGCCAAGAGGTTTCTGCAGTGAGGGAGACGATCAGGAAGACTAGCCCGCGTTCATTAACCAGCCCAAGGATGGAAAAATCAAGACTCGGTTTGGTTCACTTGAAATTATTTACATCACCCTGAAAGCATCATTATGATTGCTCCATGTTTGCCTTGCACAAGATCAGTAGAAGACAAAAGGCCCAGATTTTAATTATACATCTCCCCCCACCAAGTGAAGAGAACCCACAAGTTTCTACCTCTGCTCCCAAACAGCGAAAGTCATGGGCTCAATTACATTTGTTCTGTAGTCTCAATGGTGGATTGCTACATCAAAATAATTGGATTTTGTTTAGCATATTTCCCAAAAGTATATAAATGGCAAAGAAAAAAACCAATCCCAAAGATATATCACCAAGCGTGAACAAAGATTTTAATTATCTGTTAACAAAAATATGTTTCTGACTTGGTTCAGCAGTGCAGGTTCATATAGGTTAGCTTTAAAATAATGGGGTGTCTCTAGTCCTTCAACTGAAGTTTTTATAGAAAATAAAATCTAACAGAAACATCTAGAAAAAGAAAAGAAAGCTTACTTCTTACTATATAAGAGGGAATAATTATATGTTTATTACCTATTAAAGGGAATCTGGTTCTTGTAGCTGTTAGTTTAATCTCCCCTTAATCATCAGCTTGCAACCTTTGTGTCCCAAATTAACCATAATAAATTTGCACAGCCAACCCATCAATCTAGAGAATTCCAGGCTGCAACAACAGTAGCAGAGGTTACAGCAGGTTCTGTTTGGAGAAAGAGATTCTTGAGTACTCTGGCAGGAAGGTGGCTATGAGGAGTGTCACCCTGGGAGTAGTTGGGGCCAGAGTCGATTTACACCAGAAGACAATGAACAGATTTTTCTGGGGATGCAAACCAGAATACAACTTGAGTATGAGGACCCATCTTCATCTGGAGGTCAGTGAAAACAAGGGCTACCTACTGACCCACCCCAAGTGACTGCTAGTGTTGTGTGCTGGCCATGCACTCACCCCCATCCTGCTTCTCCCTCCAGCCTCTTCCTCACATGGATCTAGCTGCCCAAGAGCAGACCCCACATGGTCGTTCTCCACCCCAGTGAACAGGTATTTCTTGTTTACATTGCTCTAGCTCAGCCATTCTCAACCTGTGGGTTTCAACCCCATTGGCAAAGCACTAGCTCCAAAAAATGTTTACATAATGATTCCTAACAGCAGCAAAATTACAGTTATGAAGTAGCAATGGAAATCATTTTAGGGTTGGGGGTCACCCCAACATGAGGAACTGTATTAAGAGGTAAAAGCATTAGGAGGGCTGAGAACCACTGGTCTAAATGCTTCCTAAACGTGAGCATGCATCTAAATCGCTGGAAAATGAGCCCAAGATTCCACTGAGCTCAGTGCAGTCATGAGAGCCTGATTGTCTGCATTTATGACAAGCTTCCAGGTGCCTCTGGATCAGACCCTGATCCAGCGCTGATATGGTCCAAACGCCTTCAGGATGGAGACAGAGTTCACTCATTCTCAGCCCACCTAGGCAAGAGTCCTTTTTTCCTTACATAGCCCAGGCTAGTCTAAAGTTCACAATACAGTTAAGGATGGCCTTGAACTCCTGATCATCCTACTTGTACTTCCCAAGTGCTAGAATTACAGGTGTGACTTCTCATAAGTAAGAAAAGCTGGGTGGTTCTTCAGTGGCAGACCCACCCACTCTGTGGAAAAGGTCAGGGTTATTTTCAGGACAAGAGTGAAATGGGTTCAGATAGGGATTGGCTGGTGTGCTAGTTAGCCTGGCACAGCTACAATCATCTAGAAAGAGGGAATGCCAACCACCGAGGAATTTTCTCCATCAGATCAGCCTGTAGGCAAGTGTTGGGACATTGTCGTGATTCATGACTGACATGGGAGGGCCCAGTCCACTGTAGCAATGCCAGTCCAGGCAGATGGTCTTGAGTTATATAAGAAAACTAAGGGAGCAAGCGAGCCAGTAAGCAGCACTCCTCCGTGGCCTCTGCTTCTGTTCCTATCTCTAGGTTCCAGCCTCGGGCTCTTGCCCCAACTTCCCCACCCCCCACCCCCCACCCCCCGTGAGGGACTGAGACCTAGGAATACTGAGAAGAAGTAAGCCCTTCGTCCCCAAGCTTCTTTTGGTCATGGTTTTATTGGAGCGACAGAACCTAACTGTGACAGCTAGTAAAGAAAAGCCAGCCTCCCTCATTCTCACCGTGCCCTGCAATGCATATTACACCCTGAGAGTCATCATATTTTTTTTTTGAGAGTCATCATATTTTCAATCAGCGTGGCTCTTCAGCCATTCTTAACCCAGGAACAATGGGGGGCAGTGGTGACATTTGGGAGGGAGGAGGCTTGGATGTAGAGGAACACTAGGGAAGGGGAAACCCTATGTGTGGTTAAAAAACAAACTCCAAGATGTAAATAGCGGCCCGAGGAGGAGGGGGTGGAAGCTCTAGGAAAGAGGAGACGTTCTGATCATCCATCCCAGGGCTGCCAGAACAGTGAGGAATACCACAATAACAGCTCAGCCTGACGATTGGCTGGGCTCCTCTGTCACAGGAATAATACATAATAAAAATGGTTTAATAGAATCGGCTGCAACTGCAATCGCTTACTCACCCGGTATCCTTCTTGAATGTGTTTACTGAATCTTTTGGTTTTAATGCATAGAGCTCTTAGGATCTCTCCCTTGGGAGAGGCTAGCAGGGGGAAAGGAGCCAGTAGAATTACCTCAATAAATCTGCCAGGAGCCAGATACATTTTTATCACAAACATAATCGGGATCCAGATAACAGAGCAGGCGAGCATCAGCCATCCAAGCACCATGGACCAGTTAGGGTAGCGGTAAGAGCCGTAGGTCATGGGCTCCCACTGGTAGAAGCTGAAGCAAAGGATAAACTAGGAGAGAAGAGGAGAAAGGTACATTAGGGTGATGATGTGAGTCATGCATTCCTTCAACAGGCACATGCTCCATGTTTTCATTCCTCTTACCGCCTCTTATGTATGCTCTTGTCCATCTGAAAAGAGATTTTCTAATTGAAGAAAGCAAACTCCACGGAGATGAAGGGGGCATACATACACTCAGCTACTGCTCCTCCCTGTGTTTGCCGTCCCATAGGAAGTCAGCAGGGCGTGGGCATGTGTCTCCACACGGAGAGGCCACACCAAGAGAAACAGCACTGTGACTGTCGGGGACAGGTAGGAGAGGGCATGCCGGGAGTTCTGAAGAGATTTTCTGAACTATCATTGATAATCAAGCCTTTGTTATAATGTTAATAGAATCGGTTAAGATGTGTTAAATTTATATATTTCAATCTTTTTAATCGAATCCACTTGGCCTCGTCCTTGAACAAGGAGTGGCCCACATATAGGAGCTGCCTCTAAAGTTGACTATGTGAGATCCAAAATGGTCCCCTGGAGGTGACTGGTCTAGAAGCATGGTCCTGTAAGAAGCCATGGCAGAGAGAGAAGATGTGCAACCTGTCCACTGACTCAAGGTGAACAGTGTCATCGCCAGTGAGTCCAGAGACCTGGCTCTACTGCTAATGAGCCGAGGGGCCTCTCAGACTTCTCAGCCACAGAATGGGTATATTTCACACCATGTATACAGGGCTAGGGTTTTCTGGGGTCAGAAGTCTAGCATTTGCTCCAGAGTCCTTCCTCATTTTTTAAAAGGGTATGATGTGGGGTTTGCCCATTATCTGCTATCTCATCGTACTTCAGCTGACAACAGCTCTGAGATCCATCCAAAGGCTTGGCTGGGCAGCTGAAGAGGGCCAAGGGAAGGCATGTGCTGAAGACAGAGTCACCTTTCTAGGGAACCAGGCTTCAGATAGCCCCAGCCCAGTCCCAGGCACCATTTCCCTAGGCAATGTGGTTCTGTGTGTTCTTCCTGCCTGCAGCCTGGAACTGTCCACACGTCCTGTCCCTGGCTCCACCTCTCCATTCCTACCTTGAGCTGTAGAGTCACAAAGTGATGGGAGGGGATTACATCAGTGAAAATAACTGGTGGGAGCATTTGGGAGAAGCGTGAAACCCTACGCAAGCACAAAGTACCCAGGCTGCCAGGGTGAGGGATTCTTCCGATGCAACAATAATTCATACGTTGACTGAAAGCAATGTGAGCCTGAAGACGAGGCTCCCATGGAGAGTGAGGTCTACAGTAGCCACCCCCGCTTTCAAACACTTGCCCCTGGAGTCATTAAGCTTTACTAGCCAGTCTATTGGAAGTATGGCCCGATGTCATTGCAGCATGCTGCACTATTTCATTTACTATATAAATAGCAATGCATCTGCCTATGTGTGTCCCTTACTCAGTAATGTGATCAGACTGTGCATATGATAATTACAGGAGGGTATTTATGGCTCCATAAATCCACCACGGCACGAAGAAGAATGATGGATTTTATTTCAGAGGCCATGAAGTAATTTAAACCCATAATCTTACCCTAGGCCAAGACCTCAAAGACATCTATGCTATGGAGGTAAATGGCAACATACAGGCAGGGCTGAGACCTTTGACACCCATTTCTGCTTGTGCAAATATCACATCAAACTTTTAGGCACAAGCTGATTGCACGCCATAAATTTCCCTTTGCCACGTCAGCTTTGATGAAAGCCTGCCCTTGAGTAGGCTTTGCCACAAGAAATGGGAATTTAGCCACTGAGTCATGCCCATCCCTACCAAAGCAGACACAGGAGACCTACTGGTTAGTCATGTTGGAAGTGACCACATCTCTCACTCCAAACAGCACAGAGAATCTACCTCAAGACAGTTCCAGGGCATCTCCACGGCTTCTGACATGAAATCTAGCAAATCAGAACAGAACTGAGGAACTGTCCAAGAATGAAAATAAGAAACAACAAGCCCTTAGAATTCCTTCTCCTGATTCTGAAGACTGAACTCAAACTGGCCATGCTCCATCTGAGGTTGGGAGCCTAGACTCTCAGAATGCATAGGTTGGGGTTGAAGCCCACCCTACCTGAAAGGCAATATTTTGTCCCTGTGGCCTTGTGGCTTACAGCAAATTCCTTTTCCTCTCTGAGCCTCGATGCACACACTTGAAAAGTGGAAATACAGCAAGGGTGTAAACTTAAAGGCTGCTGAAGGGCCTGCCTCAAAAGGCCTCCTCCCCCTAGGAGCAGCAGGAGGAGGACGGCCTCGTGGTGTGTCTCCACAGAACACGGAAAAATTCTAACACTCTTCTGGGACTAGAGGAAAAGGAGGGCAGGATCTAGAACAAATTCTAACATCGACTCAGCTGATAATAAACCATGAGGAGCGGAGAGGAGGGGGTCAAAGGTCAGCAGGGCCAGGCTTTGCTACCG